CCCCTGCATCCCTGCATCCCACATGGAGCCAGCTGCTCACAGATCTGGTACACAGAAGATGCTCAGCAAACTTGTGCCCCTGAACGGGATGTGGTAGCTCATGACATCTGAGGGAGCAATGTTTGGCTCAGCTGTTACCCTAACAGGGTCAGGATCCCAGGTTTGGGGTTGATGGAACAGGATATTACATGGTGAGTTGGATTTTATTGACCCGTCTCCAGGCAACCACTTTTTCTGGGCACTTCCAGAAATAAAAGCCACTGTCCTCAGCTGCAATGGCCACAGGAAGAGACTTTGTTAGTGCTGCCCAGGCTGGAGACGAGCCCGATGTCCCCAGAAACCTCTGCAGCCCTCAAGAGTCTGTCACCAAGAAGCCAAATCTTGCCCAGCTCCTGGAACAAACGGCACCATAATAACACTTTTAATAAATGACTTCATTAATTGAACACTTCCTGGGTTCTGGCTCCACGCCAAAAGCCTGGCCAGCCTCAGCTACCCCCAAAGAACACACTCCTGCCATCCCCTCATGGCTACCTGTGCTGTAGTCTGGAGACTTGTTTGTTGAGCATCTGCTGTAAAGGGTGCAGGAAAGCCCCAGTGAGCACAGTGAACAGACACCCACGCCTCAGCTCTGCCCCTGCTCTGAATGCCCTGAGAATGGGCATCATGACATTCTGCGAACCAATAGGGAGGAGAGGAGCAAGAGAACTGGTGTGTGTGTGTGTGTGTGTGTGTGTGTGTGTGTGTGTGTGTGTGATGACCAAGGCAGGGGCATGGATCCCAGCCCTGCTGCTGGTGTGACGTGATCTTGATACAGACCTGATAGGGAGAGCCACAGGCAGCATTGGATAATGTCATGGTTACCCACTGCTGTGTAACAAGCCACGCAGGGACCGACAAAAATCTTCATTCTACTGTGGCTTCTGATTCTGAGGCTGCCTATCTGGTTCTGCTGGACAGCTGTGATAGCGTCACCACATCCATCTGGGTCCTTTCTGTCTCCTCCTCTTGGCCCCACATTCACCAGGGCCTCTCTCTTCCAGAAGCACGGCCCGGACTTCCTTCTGTACCACTGATTTCTAAGACAACGAACAATGGAAGCTTCCAGGTCTAGGTGCCACACAGTGTCGCATCTGCCAGCCTCTCTTGGTGACAGGCAGCCACAAGGCCAGCCTAGACTCAAGGAGAGGCAGCGCAGATCCCAGCTGGAGATGAGAGGGGAGGAAGTCACAGGGAAAAAGGAGAGAGGAGGACTGGGAGCCACAGAGGCAGCAGGCACCCCGATAACAGCGGAGCCACAGCTCCCCGGTGTTTGCCTCATGCCTGAGACGAGGTTAGATGATGTTGCCTCAGTTCTATAAATCAGAGAGCTGGGACATGAGGTGACCCATGAAAGGTCTCTGTTTGTTAAATATCAGTGCCAGGGTTCGAGCCCAGACAGCCTACCTCTCCATTAATAAACTACATTACCGGTGAAACTGGACAAATCCTGAATCAGTTCCCTTCTCTGTGAAGTGTGGTAAAATCGTATACTATGTGACAAGTGGCAGCCGGCGCCCGATAGGTGATCTACACTCAATCAATAAACGATTTTGCAGTTGGCGATCTAAACGGATAATCAGAACCACAGGCCCCTCTGCTCTCCCAGGCTCAGGAGACAGCCCAGCGCCAGGGAGAAAGCCTTGCACTAAGCTTGGAGAGTTTCAGTCCCACCTCGGCACAGACCAGTCCTGTGCCCTTGGACTCATTTCTCTCAATCCCGTTCAGCAGGGGAGGATCTTTGCTCTGTTGCCAGAGCCTTGCTTACTCAGTGCCCTGAGAATCACTACTGAGATAGGAATCACCTCAGAACTCTTCCCTTCAGGAGTTAAGCAGCATTGTCTGGTCAGGGACGATTTGGTGAGCAATGGCTCCTGGGAGCTCCCAAACCCTAAAATCTTCCACCTTATCTGGCTGCGTTCTCAGCAGATCGGGCGTATGTGTGTGCCGCTGCATCGCTGCGTCTGTGTTTTTGTTTTGTTTTTTTGTTTTTAAAAAAGGAAATGATGGCCAAAATGAGACAATGAGAAATGAAATCGGGGTTTGAAAGAGACACGAGACACGGAAAAAAACAAGGCGGATGAAGTGTGTGAGAGGCAGAAGCAGGGCCGAGAAGGGCCAGGGAGACATATTGGCTACAACTTGTACAGAGCCCCTACAGGAGGAAAACAAGCTCAGACAAATAATGACTTTCATTTTTTGCAGCGCTGTGTTCTCCATATAACATCCTGTCACTTGTGTGATTTCACTTGGTTCTCGCGACAGCCCTGTGAGGCAGATATCCATCTTAGTCTGTCCTTTGTGTCTATAACAAAATCGCCAAGACAGGGCCATTCCTAAAACATAGAAGTTTATTTGGCTTGCTGTTCTGAAGGTTGGGAAGTCCAGAACATGGCACCAACATCTGCTTGACATCTGGTTAAGCTTCCTTACTGCCTCACAGTGTGTCAGAGGGCCTCACACAGGGATATACCGAGCCTGGATCCCATGTAGAGATTCTAGCTCCGTCAGTGTTGAAGCTGGGGAGCAGGGGCCTCAAAACATTTCCAGAAATTAGGCCAACAGGTAGCCATGAATGAGAACCCATGAGGAAGCCGGGCGGTGGTGGCGCACTCAAGAGGCAGAGGCAGGCGGATCTCTGTGAGTTCGAGACCAGCCTGGTCTACAAGAGCTAGTTCCAGGACAGGCTCCAAAACCACAGAGAAACCCTGTCTCAAAAAAACCAAAAAAAAAAAAAGAGAGAGAGAGAGAGAGAGAGATTCCATGAGGCAGAGGGACAAAGACAGAGAAATGAGAGACAGAAGCAGAGAAAGACCAAGAAAAGCAGATAAAGCAGATGGATGGAGAGCCAGAAACAAGGAAAAGCAAAAATGGGGGTGGGGGGGTGGGGACAGAGACCCAGACAGAAACGACAGAGAGGCAGAGACAGACAGAGAGGCAGAGACAGACAGAGAGGCAGAGACAGAGAGGCAGGCCTTTATGTCCTGTCTGCTCTTGTGACCACTGAACTACACCCCAGTGGGAGACAAGCAGAGGCTCTCTGTGGGTCCCCTTGTCTCCGCTCATCACTCCCCCCTAAGAGATATGCTGTTGCCATTGCGTTCATCTAAAAATGCTTCCTCTCCGAGGGTGCCACTTCCAGAACAACCACCTGTTTCTCCCACTCCTCCTTGCTTAACCGTGCCTGGAGCTACCCACAGCCCACAAAGGGAACGGGTGCTCTTCCGCCTTCATCCCTGGAAGCCCAGGCTCAACGGGCTCTCCAGGCCCTCTGTGCGCTCCCATCGGCTCCTGGCTAATGAGTTGGGCCTTGTGAAAAGTCTTGATTTCCCTGCAGTCTCGTCTGAGCGACTTCATTTAGAAAACATTCTCTGTGGAGCTGAGCTGAGCTGAGCTGAGCCTGCCTCGGGCACCAGAGAACAGGAGTGGACGCTGTGGTGAAACACGGCTGCCAGGAGCCGCACCAACCCCTAGACGTCCACCCCTCTCCGGCTCACATTAGGGTTTCCGTCTCAGGCAGAGTTACAATCGCTGTGATGAAACGCCATGACCAAAGCTCATCATTAAAGGAAGTTAGGACTCATCCAGAGCAGGAGCCCCGAGGCAGGAACTGAGGCAGAGGCCATGGAGGAGTGCAGCTTACTGGCTTACTCCCCATGGCTTGCTAGGTCTGCTTTCTTATAGAACCCGGGACCACCAGCCCAGGGATGGCATCACTCACCATGGGCTGGTCTCTCTCTCTCATCAATCTGATTAAGAAAAATGTCTTGCCTCCAACCCCATCTTATGGAGGCATTTTCTTAACTGGAGTTCCCTCTTTTTGGATGACTCTAGCTTGTGTCATATCGACATAAAACTAGCCAGCACAGTTTCCCTGGGACCTGGCTAGTCCTAAGAAGAGATGACATGAAGTGGGGGGGGGGCGGTTAAACTGATCAGCCAGGACAGACCTATAAGCCCAAGCCCTTAAAGTCCCCAGTCTGGGAGAAGGAAGTCCAGCTGTAGATTGGCAGGCCCCCAGAAGAAAACTCCATATTTACCAACAGAGCCATGCCAGTTCTCTCCCCGCTCAGAAGGTAGGGTCTCTGGAGATGAGGGAGCCTAACAGGCCATCAGCTCCCTGTCAGTCAGGTGTCTGTCGAAACTTGCTCATTCTTGAAGGTGATGGCTACAAGCTATTTCTCTAGAGAGTACCCCAAATGTTGCGCCCAGGATGGAATTCTTTCTCTTTCTTTCTGCCCCAGTTGTCTTTGTTGCCCCCCAAATGGAAGAAAGCTAGGTGAGGACAGGGATGACAGCGATCCCTAGGGAGGAGCCTAGCTCTGCCCACCATTGGCTTTCCCTAGAGAACGATTCCTTTTATAAGCTGCAATGGGTCCTAGTTACCACTCATCAGGCATTAAAAGAAAAACCCACCGAGTTTCTAAGTCATCCTTATTATTGACTTAGAGATGTCTAGGGGTGCGAACGGAGGAAGAGTAAGTCGGGCAGACTATGTATAGGTCTGACCCTCACCACACGGAAGAGCTGCCAAATGAGCTCCTGTTGTTCACACTGCCACAATCAGCTCATCCTGAAACCGTCTCCCACCCCACCGGCTGTCTGCCCTGGAGTTCTCCCACCCTGGCTACCCCGCCATTCTCAGTGCTGAGAGGCAGTGGAAGCAGCACAGAGTTGGGAGTCAGAAGTCCTTCTTAGGCCTAGGTCCCCCCCTCACACTTATCCTGTGACCTTGGCAGTTTGCCAAAGCTTTCTGAGCACCATCTTTGAATGAGGAATGGGTAACAATGCCCTCCATAGGAGGCAGCTATGGTAACTGACTGAGTGGGCGTGTGGATGGTTTGTCCCTGGAGAGCCTGGCCCATGTGAGGGGTCACCTTGGCTGCTAGTAGGCCCCATCTCATCACTCACCACCGCCCTGCTGTTTGCACCCAAGGCCACAGCTGTTCCTCTCTCCACAGACGTTCCGGTGGCCCGTGGCCAGCAGCATCGACAAAAATGAGATGTTGGAGATCCAGATTTTCAACTACAGCAAAGTCTTCAGCAACAAGTAAGCATGGGGTGGGTGGGGGGCCGGCCTGACTCGGACTCCTCTAGGATTACATACAATAGAACCCTGCACTTTGAAACCATCTTTCAAGGCTAAAGAGTTACCCATCTTGCTCCTTTGCGGGATCCTCAAAGTGCCCTGGGCCTTGCAACCCTTGTCAACCAAGAGCAGCTCACCGTCCTGTCCACCCTCAATCTCCTGCCCTTTTAAAGTTACATACGCCTCTTTTTGAGCTCTTCCTTACTCAGACTGGAGGATGCAGCCCATCAGAGATGCTAAAAGCCAAATGATTGTTACATCCTGCGATCTGACGGTAAAGTTGCCTAACAGCTGTTCAGGGCTGTGGTTTAGAAGGAAAACGACCCCAGACCCTTGAGCCAGGGATTTAAGGTGTGGCCCCGAGCAGGCTAAGGAACCTCTCTGAGCTCTCTGTGTTTATGTGTGAGAAAGATAAGAATTTGTCTCAGTTCAGCTGTGGGAATGAAATGATGTGTTCATTCACTCAGTCAACAAACGTTTATAAAACGCAAAGTGTATGTCATGAACTGAACTAGATACTAAAGAGAGAGATGTCTGCTCTCATGGGGTTCCCAGTCTGTGAACGAGATGCATCCACCTCAAGTGTTGTCCTACAAGCGGATCAATCGAAGTCGCCCTCATCCTGCTCTGTGCGTGGCACACAGGTTTTGGAAGACACTAGAATGGTGGCTAAACATAAGTAAATTGAGACACTGGGCTTTGGGGGTAAAAAGTGAATTGCTGTTCTGTAGCCTACAGGAGATCATGGCTGAACTACAAGGTGTCCACAAAGGTGCGACAGTGTTAGTTCAAGGAAGAAGGCTCTAAAGGGACTAATCAGTGGGAAGGGAGTAATGGGTCACATTAGAAGATATACAGTCCCAAAGGGGTAGGCAAAGGGTCCGCTCTTTCGCTGTCAGTTTTAAAGAACATTAATAGGTAACCCTTGTGGTCATCTGGGGTGGGCACTCTAATTCTTTCCTTATGGCAAGTAGATGTAAGCTTCAAGACAAAGTCGTAGGATCATGTAGCTCACCAACCTATCTGTTCATTCAATCATCCATATTTTCATTCATCCATTCATCCCATCCCACCCATGCATCCTACCTATGCATTCATCTCATTCATCACTTCAACCCATCCATCCATTCATCCATCCATCCATTCACCCATTCATCCATCCATTCACCCATTCATCCATACATACATTCACCCATTCATCCATTCACCCATTCATCCATCCATTCACCCGTTCATCCATCCATCCATTCATCCATCCATCCATTCACCCATTCATCCATCCATTCACCCATTCATCCATCCATCCATTCACCCATTCATCCATCCATCCATTCACCCATCCATCCATCCATCCATTCACCCATTCATCCATCCATTCACCCATCCATCCATCCATCCATTCACCCATTCATCCATCCATTCACCCATTCATCCATCCATCCATTTACCCATCCATCCATTCATCCATTCATCCCATCCCACTCGTGCATCCTACCTATGCATTCATCTCATTCATCACTTCAACCCATTCACCTACCCATCTACTAACCCACCATGCTAGCCATGGTGCTTGCTAAAATGAGGGGATCAAGGCACAGTCCCTGTCCTCAAGAAATTGTTTGTCATGTGAAGAGGAGAGACACATGAGGACCAGGCTGTATCACTAGAAAAGCAAACAGCTGGAAGAGTTGGTACTCTCCCACACCCATGCTATCTCAGGAAGCAGTGAGTGCCAACACTGGGAAAGGTGAGCTGAACAGACCCCTTGTAGAGGGTGGGGTTCTGGTCTGCTGGCAGGACCACAGAAAATACGATTAGGGCACTGAGGACTTCTCTCTGTCTCCAGAGGATCACATCACTCAGTCAGCTTCCTCTAGAACCACAATAAGTTTTGGAAAAGCATCCCGCTAGAGACCCTCACAGTAAAGCGTGGCCTTATTATCTGGTGTGAGACACCCCGTGACTCATCAGGCCAGGAGAAGCAGGAGCAAGAGAAGGGCCCAAAGTAGACCGAATGAATGTAGAGGAGAGACAGAATCAGAAGACCCCAGCAGTAAAATCCTCACTGTGCAGAAAGGGAAACTGAGGCTCAGAGGCACGTGGAGGTCATGTGAGAAGATTCTGGAACAGCTAGATGGGATGTACATTTTCCACCTCCTCTTCTAAACCTCCGTAGCTCCCAGCAGCCAGAGCATCTGAATGAGATGGAGGAAGCCGAGGAAGAGATTGCTGAGTCCCTTGCAGTGGAGACTTCCAGAGCAGACAGACCCCGGAGTGCAGAGAGCCCCCATCAGGACTCCTGCTACAAACAAAGGATTTGGAAGTTTCAGGTGCAATGGATAACCACACAGTGAATTTACCAGGCATTAATG